TTAAACAATTAATTGATAGCAAATATTGACAATAACCTTTAACGACTGAGTGCCCTAGAATCCAGTTTTTTTTTTATTTCTTTACTCATATTTAATCTTTAACATAATGCCGGAATCAACACCAATTTATCTTCAAGACCTAAAAGACTTAACGTCTAGAAGTGAAAGGATCTCTCGAAGATCTACAGTGCCTAGACCACCACCTCCAAAAATAGGAAACCCAACACCGCTTGGTAAACGTCTGTTTGCATTATTATTTAATAACTGAAAATTACTAACGAATAATCGATTTATCATGCACCAATAAAATAGGTCTTTCCGCTTTTGCTATGTCAACTTTTGTCGCTTCTCTCTATGGTCTAGGTGTTTTAGGAATTAATGTGCCAAATATTTTAGTCGGTGTTTCGCTCTTCACCGGTGGTGTTGTTCAATTTGCTTCCGGCATGTGGGAATTTAAAGTTGGTAACACTTTTGGGGGTACCGGATTCTCTGCTTTTGGTGGTTTCTGGGCATCTTTAGGTGTTATCTATATGCCAGGATTTGTAAGTTTTATTTTGACAAATCACACAATCTCATATAATTTACGTGATTTTTAAAATATAACTTGGTTTTTTTCACTAAATAGGGTATTCAAGAAGCTTACGGAATCATACCTGTTAGCCGAAATGCCACAATAGACTCAACTGGATTTTGTACTCAGAATTGTGAATACACACTTGGTGGTATTTATGCGGCAACTGATTCCGATCTTTTTGACCAATTTCATCATGCTCTTGCTATATATAATGCTGCATGGTTAATATGTAAGTATTGTTTTATATGTACATATGTATCATATATATAAAAGTAACTAATATGATCTCTTGCAACAGTCACGTTCATTTTCACGTTGGCTTGTCTTCGCACCAATGCTGGAGTCTTGGGTGCTTTTGTTGCTTTAACCATAGCATTTTTGGGTGATACTATTTATCATATTTCTCCATCTAACACTATCTTTCTTAAAGTTGGTGCTATTTTCGAACGTGAGTTTTTTAAGTTTCCAATTAAAATTTATAAAAATATTCCTTAACCATCTAAAAATAATAATAATAATAATAATATATATATATTTTAATCAATGACAGTTATCACCTCCTTAACGGTATTCTACTGTCTAGCTGCGGTATT